TAAAATTGAGAATTAACATATATTAGATATTCTAATATTTATTTTTCTTATTTTGTTTTTCTTTTCACTTTCAAATAAATAATGAACATCCTTACATCCTCTTATTAATAAATGATTTTTTTATTAATGGAGCATTAATTGTATAAATCACCTCCTAAGACCATCTCCAATGTAAATCTCTATATTTTACTCTAAAATAGAGCATGATTTCTCTATAATGTATCACTCTATACCCTACTCTAAAATAGAGGTATTGTAAAAAAAAATAGAGTTCCTCTATATATAGAATAATCTTCTCTTTTACTCTATTTTAGAGTGAGATATAGAGTAGGGTTGGAGAGAATTGTGCTTTATAATAGAGTTTAGAGAAAAAAATAGAGTGGAGTTGGAGATGCTCTAATGATGTTTAAGTCGCCTACATTTTAAATAACTATTTCGACATTTTATATATTTTAAAATTAATATACCTAAATTTCCATTATTTTAAAGTAAACATGTAACATAAAGAAAAAAGATAATATTGAATAAGCGCTTATAAATTCGATTTTCCAACACTTATGAATACTACCGTTTATAATTATGACTACGGATACTTATAATTTCCTTTCTAATTTAAAAGACTAATAGCTATGTGAACTAACTATTACATAAAAAAATAATAAATCAAATTATCAAAATGGATGCAAGAGATATAAATGATAATTTAACATAACATCCATGTTATAAATATTCTATGTTTTTATTTCTTTTAACGTCTATTTTTATTATTTAATATTTTATACTACTTGAAAATTTTTGTAAAATATAGATTAAATATATTTTATAGTATCTTACATCATTAGATTTCTATTAAAGTTTATAATTAATGTATTGTCTTTACATTTTCTTAGCTTTATAAAGGTAGTCCAACATTATTTTGTGGTACTTTAATTCAAAGTTTTGTTACCCTCTATAGATACACATAAGTTACAAAATATTTCACTACATTAATTTACAATTTATTACAAATTTGGCAAAAATGTGAAACTCAAGTGATAATAAATTATTTTATTAAATTTATTTAGTTACTAGGATTTAAGAGTACTATTTTGTTTTCTATAATTTTTGTATAAATTCTATTTGTGATGGTAATATTGTAATAATCAACAAGTATTTGACTTTTAAGATAACAAAATATAATCTCAACTCTCTAATTTTTTCACCTCTTGTCCACCGTCCTCTTTTTTTTTTTTTTTATAACACAAAGCTCTCTCATTATTTTTCCAATATCCCTGGAAATGTTAATTCACAAGCCTTTCAAATATATTGATAATATTTTGCCAAATCATATGATTTATTTAAACATGTAAATTACAACTTTTTAAGTCATTGTAGAGAAGAAATAAATTGGAAGATTTTTTGCTTATACTTTTAATGAATAATCTGAAAGATTTTTTTGTTAATACTTTCTTTATAATTAATATGTATAGGTTCTAATATATTTTTAGGTTAAACTAATTTAGTTTTCTTACGATAAAATATATTCAAACTATTCCCACGCATCGCGTGGGTCTTTTTCTAGTAAGATATATGGTTAGGTAGCGAGTAGAAGACCAAAGCAAGAAACTACGACCACGACATGTTGCACATAAAAAAAAAAGTAGTTCAATTTCATTTTCGCTTTGGTCCACTTATTATTTAACAAAACAAATAATATCTAATATAATACATTAATAAAACAGTCCGTGTTAGATTAAGACACGAAGCCTCCGCACTAAATCGACGCAAATAAAAATAAACAAATGGTGGGGTTAGGAGTTTCCGTTTGAGGTGTGGAATCTCTATAAAATTAAAAAGAATGTATTTAATCAAATATTTGAAGTGAGTTTTATTAAAATAACAAATTTCATGTTATTTAATTATAGATTTTAAACTGTTACTAATCTATATATAATAGTAATCTAATAAATACCATTTGCACATTTGAACGGTTGCGTCTTTTTATCGCAACTTTTGTTAATGTTTTTATTAATTAAAATATATATTTTACGGTTATGTTTTTTTTTTATATAAATTGCATTCTGAATGTTTTCTACGGTTGCGTTTTTTATTGTAACTCTTCATAAACAGTTGAAACCGCTTATTCGAATCATTGCAATATTTAGTTTATTTTACGAACAATTGCAACCTTTGGTTTATATATTTATTTTATTTCACGAACAATAGCAATTTTTGGTTTATTTTATAAATAGCTATAACATTTAATTATCTACCGCCGCGTCTCTCGGTGTGCCTTTTCATAAATTATTATTTTAATTACTAAAATGTATTTAAATGAGATTGTAACTATTTAATTGAACTGTTTCAACATTTGGATTATTAGACGAATTATTGCAACTTTTGGATTTGTGTTACGAACCATTGTTATCTTTAGTATATTTGATGAACTATTGCAACATTTGGTATAATTGACGAACCGTTGCAGTTTTTGGAATGTTTGATATCTACGGTTGCGTTTCTCGGATAAGTTCGTCATATTTTTAAAAAATATTTAAATACTAAAATATATTTAAATGAATTGTTGTTACCGTTTAATTTAACACAATATCATTTGGTTTATTTGACGTTGAACGTTTTGGCTTATTTATCAGATTATTGCAATATTTGGTTTATTAGTTTATGCTTTTTGCACTTGAGAATAGTTTTTTAGTTCCAAATTATTGTTTTTCTAATATTAATATACTTAATAAATGCTTGTGAGGGTTTTATTTATCATAATTTTTGTAAAATATCTATTGATTTGTTATTAAAAATTTAAAATTATTACAATTCATTATGATTTTTTCGTTTGATATTTTTTAAAATGATTTTTGAAATATATTTCCCTCGACATCGCGGGGGTCCTGAGTCCTAGTATTAAATAATATTGATTCAAAAATTTGGAAAAATATTTTAAAATTCACAGTTATTGTTAGTTTTTTTAATAATTTTAGAATTTTTTTTTATCAATGTTAAGTATTTGTAAAAAATTTAAAAACTTTGACAAAAATAAATAGATATACTGGTAGTGGAAAAAAACTGATTTTTTTTAAGATTAAAAATACAAAAGTAGAAATTCCATAATTATAACTTTTAAGTCGAATTTGAAAAAAATATATTATAACAAATCATAACAATATTTCTACATTCACCTAAAATTATTTAAATCATATAAAAAAACTCACTAAAACTTAAAACTATTTAAAGTATGAGGTTGTATACACTGTTGACAAAAAAAATGAGGTTGTATACACTTCTTTCAAATTACTCAAATTATTTTAGTTTTTTTGCAGTTTAGTTAAAGAGAAATTGTTAAAAATGCCCCTTTTTCAATACCCCTTTTCAAAAATGCCCCTTTTGAGAGTCCATTTTTAAGTTTGCCCTCTTTTAATTTTTAATGACCATTTTACCCTTATTTGAAACAAAATTAGGTCCACAAAATACAAAATATTTTTTGGCGGGAAAAGTGATCCCGCAATTTTCCCGCCAAAACACTTGTAAAAAACCTTTAAAATACCTTGTAAAATTTTCCCCTAAAAATTTTTCCCGCCAAAAATTTTTTTTTGCGGGAAAAGTGATTCCGCAATTTTTTTGGCGGGAAAAATTTACAAGGTATTTTAAAGGTTTTACAGAGTATTTACAAGTGTTTTGTAAGGTTTTACAATGTATTTTAAAAGGTTTTACAAGGTACTTATAAGGTTTTATAAGGTATTTATAACTTGTAAAACCTTATAACTTGTAAAACCTTATAAAATAGCTTGTAAAATCTTATAATATCTTATAAATACCTTATAAATACGTTGTAAAACCTTTTAAAATACATTGTAAAACCTTATAAATACCTTGTAAAAAACCTTTAAAATACCTTGTAAATTTTTCCCGCCAAAAATTTTCCCGCCAAAAATTTAACAGAGTATTTACAAGGTATTTTAAAGGTTTTACAGAGTATTTACAAGTGTTTTGTAAGGTTTTACAATGTATTTTAAAAGGTTTTACAAGGTACTTATAAGGTTTTATAAGGTATTTATAACTTGTAAAACCTTATAAAAAACTTGTAAAACCTTATAACTTGTAAAACCTTATAAAATAGCTTGTAAAATCTTATAATATCTTATAAATACCTTATAAATACGTTGTAAAACCTTTTAAAATACATTGTAAAACCTTATAAATACCCTGTAAAAAACCTTTAAAATACCTTGTAAATTTTTCCCGCCAAAAATTTAACGCCAAAAAAATTGCGGAATCACTTTTCCCGCCAAAAAAAATTTTTGGCGGGAAAAATTTTTACGGGAAAATTTTACAAGGTATTTTAAAGGTTTTTTACAAGTGTTTTGGCGGGAAAATTGCGGGATCACTTTTCCCGCTAAAAAATATTTTGTATTTTGTGGACCTAATTTTGTTATATTTCCTTATATATTTGTGATATCTTTTATTAAAAGAAGGATAATTTAGTCATTTTGTACATAAAAAGGGTATTTTTAAAAATGGACAGCCAAAGGGGGCATTTTTGAAAAAGGGTATTGAAAAAGGGGCATTTTTGTGAGTCTCCCTTAGTTAAATGTATATATTTTTAGTGTTAAGAAAACTTAGATTTCTATAAGTTTCGGAAATTAGAAATTAGAAAAAGATTCTTCCGATAAAAAAAATAATAATAATTGTTTATTTTATGGGAAAAGACGCGCGTGGCTCCCACCACCCTCAACTTTGCCCACGTGGAACCAGCCATATGCGCGGCGTTTAGAAAAAAAAAAGCGTGTTGTTTCTTTCTCTCTCTAGAAAGTCAAAAAAAGGAGACAGACAACCAAACACTGCCTTGTCACATCTCTCTCTCTTGCTTTTTTTTTTTTTGCCGAGAGTACGAGTAAGTCCATTTCCCATGTGCCCACTGTGTCTTCTTCTCTCCTTACACGCCACCATCTCCTCCTCCTCCACCTCCTCCTCCCTACTCCAATTCCCAATTCTCCTCCAATCCTAGGGTTAGGGTTTCCACGATTCCAATCTTTTTTTAAACCTCAGATCTTTCGATTTCTGTATTCCTCCGTCTTGAATTCCTTTTGTTGAACTGAGAAAGTGTTCTTTGGCTTCACGAAGAGCCGATGCCGGAAATCGATCTTATGAGAGTCGATCAATGTGTTTCCGATGTTAAATTGGATTCTTCTTCTCCTAATCCTATTGAACCTCCTGGATTCTTCGATGGTGGTGGTTCTGTAGTTGTCGATTTGAAGTTAGATGAAGAAGATTCCGATTGTTTGAAGAAGAGAGGTAGACGTGGTCGTCCTCCGAGAACTTTGGCTAAAGCTTCTTCTCCTCCGATTTCGAGGAAGAGAAGAGAAGATGAAGATGTTTGTTTTGTTTGCTTTGATGGTGGTAGTCTTGTACTTTGCGATCGTAGGTCAGTGAATTTTGAGCTTAGAGAAGTAACTTCTCCAGCTCAATTAGATTTCGTACTTCTAAAAATAGAAACTTTTAGTTGTGACTGATGATTGTTTCTTAATTTGTCAGGGGATGTCCAAAAACTTATCATCCAGCTTGTGTTAAGCGTACTGAAGCATTCTTCAGATCAAGATCTAAATGGAATTGTGGTAAGTTTTTGTGGTAACCATGTTCTTTGAGATGGTTCATAGTGTTGAACTCATTGTGGTAAGGATGTTTTTTTTTTCTTTTTTTTTTTTTCAGGTTGGCACATATGTACTACTTGTCAAAAGAATTCCTTCTACATGTGTTATACTTGTCCATATTCAGTTTGTAAGAGATGTGTTAGAAGCTCAGAGTATGTAGTTGTTAGGGAGAACAAAGGATTCTGTGGAATTTGCATGAAGACTATAATGCTTATTGAGAATGTAGCTGAAGCTAACGACGAAAAGGTACTAGAATCTATCAACATTTTGTTGCTAGAATGTTATTTGTGGAATTTGAGTCCTTTTTCTTGTGATGATTGTCGCTTTTGTTTTGTAATATTCTTTTTTCTTCTAGCTAAATGAATTACTTGTTTTACGTTTACATTTTCTAGGTTCAGGTTGATTTTGATGATCAAGGCAGCTGGGAGTATCTTTTTAAGATTTACTGGGTTTCTCTTAAAGAAAAGCTAGGTTTATCGTTAGATGATCTTACCAAAGCAAGAAATCCATGGAAATCGTCTTCGTCTACTGCTTCTAAGAGAAGAACTACTTGTCGGGTTCATGAAAAGGATGATGGAAATTCTCCTGGGGTTATGAAAGTACGTCGTGCTAAAGTAAGGAAAATGGAAGCTGTTTCTGTGAGTAATTTGGGTCCTTCTTTGGTTTCGAACAGTTCTTCGGGTGACAGACTTCCACCATTGACTAGTGCTGCTACTTGGGCAACAGATGAGCTCTTGGACTTTGTGGGGTATATGAAAAACGGTGATATTTCTGTCTTATCAAAGTATGATGTCCAAACTCTCGTGCTAGAGTATGTGAGACGGAATAATCTACAAAGGTCTCCTCAGAATTCTGAAATAATGTGTGACTCTAAGCTTATGAGATTGTTTGGGACGGAGCGAGTGGATAACTTGGAAATGTTAAAGCTTCTTGATTCTCACTTCATCGACCAAGTGAGGTCTCCAGTCACAGATAACTCAGCCGGAGGAGTCACCGAAACTATGTCTTTCCAGGTCAATACGAGCAGAAGCTATGATAGGTTGAATACATCCGAACAGCATCAAGAAGGAGAGTCACAGCAATTGAACCGGCACAGTCTTCAAGTTAGACCTTCCAGTTCTGATAGCAGAAACCATGCCGTTGTAAAACCTGACACATGTGCCACTCTGTCCAATAAGCCAATTGATGGCTTGGATACGAATATGGTATGGTTATATGGAGATCCAGATGGGAAGATTCATGGACCATTTTCCTTATTTAATCTGCGACAATGGAATTCGAGCGGGCATTTCCCTCCGGAGCTGAGAATATGGAGGTTGGGTGAACAGCAAAACAGCTCCATACTTTTGACCGACGCATTAAATGGGCAGTTCCATAAAACAGGGTTATTACAGAATCATACGATCCCCAAGCAGGAAGTGACAGCTACAATAGCTAACGATCAAAACAGGTCTGTGGCTGTTCCTAAAATAGAGAGTAGAATACTTGACTTCAGCCCCAACTCAGTGTGCACTGACCAGAGTGTTATTTCTAGCAGTAACAGTGTTATCACAAGGAGCTCGGATGTGAGTAACAAAAGCGGAAACAATTTTAGCCACACCTTGCCATTGGATTTTTCTTTGTCTAACGAAAGGAATACTGTGGGTTCTGTCTCTCTCTGGAACAAAAGAAAAGTTGAAAGTCCTTTGCTTGTACAAAGCCCGATAAGCTGTTCACTTTCGCTGGCTACATTACCCAGAAACTCAAACTGCTCTCTACCACCACATGAAAGATGGAATGCTGGTCAAACAGATCCAGATAGAAACAATGCAGCGATGAATGCTTGCAATCAAAACGGTATTGGTCTTAGCGATGCAGCTGAGAAACAAGTCACGGCTACAGTCCAGTCATGCGGACAGAACTGGAATGCTGCAACTCCAAGCAGTGCTTCAAATGTATGGGATTCTAACTCGGGTTTGACGTCGTTCCCAGACAATCAAGAAATAGACTTTTTAGATCTCTTTAGTCCAACTTTCAAATTCAACTTTGCATCTACTACCACGGATTGGCAACCCATTGTGGCTGGACCTGACGAATGTGACGAATCAGTCTCGGATCTTTTGGCAGAAGTGGAAGCCATGGAGTCTCAACAACGTCTTCCTTCTCCTACTTCAACATTCCGTGGTCCTGAAGAATTATTAATCCGGCACTCAATAAACGATAGCTTCAGTCCTGCTGAAGGACATAGCCCAGCACTAGATGTAAGCAAAGGTGACTCCATGAGCTCCACAAACGATCTTCAAATGCATTCACGATCTAACAGCACCGTGCATTTTTAGTCGTGGGCTCGGTTCACATAGAGAGAAATCCAATGTCCGAGATTCGTCTGATCGATGGTGGACTATGCCCTCTTTTTTCTCTTTTTTTTTGCAGGATTATTACAGAACATAAATAAATGGCAGAATCATTCAGCAAGAATGAAAAAAAAGAGTGGTGCATATGAAGAAGATATATGATCAAATGTTTCTTCGCGGTATTTTTGACTGCACCTATTGTTTTTTTTTCAGTATTTAGGTTTTGTAACGTTGTCCTGTGTTAAGATTTGCACAGACAGATCCAACTTCTGTATTTTTACATTGTTTGTACTTAGGAAGAAGTATAAAAAATGGAAGATAATTGTTGTCGATGAATGTAATCAAAACATTGTAGGGATCATCATCTTATTATTCTATATATATGATAATGATAGTGTAACGTTTCATTCTTATTTTTTGAATGTTTCAAATCTATTTATATCATGACAAGTGTAGGCTCCAGTTTTCTCTTACTTGTTTTTGGAAAATGGAACGAACTCTATTGATCGTTTTTGGATTTGGAAACTTTTTGTTGTTTCTTCGATTTTGTTTTCTTGTTGATCTGATTTGATGTGTGAAGCTACGTCGAATTTGACGCCGTCACAGAGATATGCGGCAAGCGCATTGTTTGCGATCGCGCTCAACGAAGCGCAGATTAGCCAGACTAAGCCATTCGGAATCCCGGCCACCAATCACGGCGGAGGTACCGGAGAAACAGTCAGCAGCGACGGTGATCCTATCTTCGATGACGTGGATCTCTGGGTCCACGAAGTTTCTGGCCTCCTCCGACCTGTTTTGAGGTGATGATCTTGGATTCTGGTATTCTTTTTATATGATTACGACGAAATCATCTGGAATTGTCATGTTAATATGCGTCTTTGTGTGTGTAATGTATACATTTTGAGCTGTTTCGGTAATTTGTTTTCAGATGTCTTCAGATTGATTCATCAGCTTGGCATGGCCTTGAGGAGATAGCTGCTTCTACTCACGCTAAGGATCACATTGGTGCGGTATGACCAATTTCCCTCATCTTGAATATTCGTTGTATAAATCATGTGTTGAGGAGATTTTCTTCATTAATCTGCTAGTTTTGGTTTATTGTAGTTCATCAAGTTACTCTCAGAGGATGCGAGTGATGATGATGATGATTCTAGTGAAATGGTGGAGAAAGAGACCGCCTTAGCTAAAGCTATTGAAGCTATGGTTCAAAACATTCGAAGCAGCTCTGTATCTGTGGAAGCTAAGATGGAGAAACATGTGGAATTCGAAAACGAATGTCGTGAGAAGTATTCTGTTCCCGAGGCACAGTCTGGTGTTGAGGTTAAGGAAGTGGAGAGCCATGGGCAGGGTGAAGTTGGAGATGGAAGTCACAATTCTGGGATCGCTGAACATGAGAAACCTGTTGAGGAAGTAGCATTGCTTAGCCATGAGAGGAAGATAAATGTTCTTTACGAGCTACTTTCTGCTTGCTTGGCAGATAAACATGAGGAGAACGAGAAATGTACACGGCGTAGGAAAGGCTATGATGCGCGTCACCATGTTGCTCTGCGGTTACTTGCGACGTGGTTTGACTTTCAGTGGATTAAAATGGTTTGTTTGCTACCTCATAGCATAGCAAGCTCATAGTTCCATAATAGCTATCTATTTGAGGATCTAGGATCTGATGACATTGGCATGTTTGGGAAGTGTTAAGAAGCTCTAAATTCTAATCATGGATTCTCTGTTTTTGTGCGTTTGGATTGACCTGAGAATCAATACTCTTATTTCTAGGAAGCAGTTGAAACGATGTCTGCATGCTCTGCCATGGCATTGCAAAATTCAAGTGGAAATAAAGAAGAAGAGTCTCTGTCACCAAATAGTGAATGGGCTAAATGGAAGCGTGGAGGCATCGTTGGAGCGGCTGCTTTAACAGGGGGTACTTTGATGGCCATCACTGGTGGTATGATGATGTCTTGTAACTGTTAATATCCCTTCCCACGTTTTTGAAAGTAAGAGTTTGGATTTGGAAAATGCTAATTCTTAACCTATTTTGATTACGTATTATATGAAACAGGATTGGCTGCTCCAGCAATCGCTGCAGGGTTCGGTGCATTGGCACCAACACTAGGCACGATAGTTCCGGTAATTGGAGCCAGTGGGTTTGCTGCAGCTGCTGAGGCTGCCGGAACTGTTGCTGGTTCTGTTGCTGTTGCAGCATCTTTTGGAGGTAAATAAACAGTAGACCTTAGTTTTAGCTTCCTTAAAGAAAAAAAAAGGATCATAGTGATGAAAATTGGTTAGTTCTTTATCTTATGTTTTGTTTCTATATATGTTCATGAATAGCTGCTGGAGCTGGACTCACAGGGACTAAGATGGCTAGGAGAACTGGAGACATTGAGGAGTTTGAATTTAAAGCCATTGGAGAAAATCACAATCAAGGAGTTAGTTTTCATTTCCTGCTGCTGCTAGATCACTACAACGATAGTTTTGCATTGGGGCAAATTGACTAGTGTCTGTGCTTTATGTTAAAATCTCTTTTCTCTGCATTAATCCGACTTTGAGAATGACGTCTTTCTTGTTTTTTTGTTGGTGTATTAGCGATTAGCGGTGGAGATCTTAGTTGCTGGCTTTGTTTTAAAGGAAGAAGACTTTGTAAAACCCTGGGAGGGGTTAACTAGCAACTTGGAAAGGTATTAACATGAGTTGTTTTCGCGTACATATTTGTGACTGATTCTACTAATTCATAATATTCATATGTTTGCTATAATTGCTTCGTAGGTACACGGTGCAATGGGAATCCAAGAATATTATTGCAGTGAGCACTGCAATACAGGACTGGCTTACTTCAAGTAATATTATTATCCACTACCCATAACCATGTAAATCTATCTATTTTGGCATTCCCATGAGAATAAATAGTAACATCGACATGAAATTGTTGCAGGAGTTGCTATGGAGTTGATGAGACAAGGTGCAATGCACACCGTACTAAACTCGCTTTTAGCAGCAATGGTATGGCCGGCTACAATCCTTGTAGCTGCTGATTTCATAGATAGTAAATGGAGTATTGCTATTGACAGGTAAAAAGAAAATATTTTGTGAAATTGAAATGCCAAATGTGATGCAACCATTACTGCAACTAAGTTTATGGTTATTATTGTTGTATTATCCTATTTCAGGTCAGACAAAGCAGGAAAACTTCTTGCTGAAGCGCTTCGAAAAGGGTTGCAAGGAAATAGGTATGATTATTGGATAATTCCATCAGATCTTTATGGTAGGAAGTTTTGCAATTAGAATTTTACATCAGCATGTTAATTTTCTTACTTTGGACAAATTGTGAGGAATTCAGACCTGTGACTCTCGTTGGTTTTTCGCTTGGTGCGCGTGTCGTCTTTAAGTGCCTCCAGACTCTGGCCGAGACTGAAAAGAATGGTATTTCTCCCTCTCATATCTCTGTTTCTTTAAAATTGACAGTTGAGTCTTGTCTTAACACATTATTCACGGTAGCTGAAATTGTGGAAAGAGTTGTTCTTCTTGGAGCACCAATTTCAATCAAGAACGAGAATTGGCAAGATGTAAGAAAGGTAATAAACCTTCTTGATGAGAGTTCCCTTACATTAAAATAGTTGGTGTCACAGTCTAGGAAATAATTCCGTCTTTTGATGTTCTGTATCATCTTATACGAGTCTTTTTTGTCGGTTACCAGATGGTGGCTGGAAGATTCATTAATGTTTACGCCACAAATGATTGGACCCTCGGAGTTGCATTTCGTGCAAGGTATATTGATTTGTTTTCGATTCCCATTTCACCTGCAACCCCAAACTTTTTCCTTTCTTACTTTTTGCAGTCTGTTGTCCCAAGGATTAGCTGGAATCCAACCGGTCTGTATACCGGGGATCGAAGATGTAACTTATCTCATTTTCTCTCATTGTGTATATCTTCAATCCGTAGAAAGTGAAATGATAGAAATAATCAGACTAATCATCATCACATTTGCAGGTGGATGTAACCGATATGGTGGAAGGTCACTCATCTTACCTATGGAAAACTCAACAAATCCTAGAAAGACTCGAACTCGACAACTCTTACCCCGTTTTTCGAAACACTCTCTAACTAAATCCAACCTTTATTACTAGCATAATATCCCCCATTTTCATCCATATTCATAGACTAGATTAACACTCATGACTCCTAAATCAGGCAAAACGAAACATCATTTCCCTTCTTCTCTCATTTTCTCCTCAGGTGCGTACAAATTATACACTTTCACATTCCTACAATTCTTTACATGAAAACTTCCCTCATTTTTGAAACCCTACATGTTCTAGTTTTTTATCGAAAAACATCGGTGAAACTCTGTTGACATAATAAAGGAGCTTTTTGTCGACCCTTGTTGTCTAATTGAACTTTCAACACACCTTTGCAGTTAGTTAAACGTCGTGGTCTTAATACTTTGTCCTATTTTTCTCTCTATACGTCGATATTAGATGTATTTTATGTAGATTACTAATATAAATGACGGTTTTCAATATTTTTATTTTGTGATTGTACTTATTTTCAGTAATCATTCGAGGTAAAACACAAGATAAAACAAGATTTAACAGAAAAACAAAACTGATGCACATTGAAACGTTAGTTAGAAAGGGCAAGTGAGGCGCCTGTTAGGCACGGCGATGAGGCGTTTGGCTCTGGGAGCGGTTAGACCCATGACGTCGCTCATGTCAAGCTCACTCGGTTTCATCCCATCGGGCAACTGCCACGTGTAAGTGTGAATGATGTTAGCCACAGCAACCTCCATCGCATAAAGCCCAAGCTGCATCCCGGGGCACGATCTCCGACCCGATCCAAACGGTATAAACTCGAAGTTAGTCCCCATGAAATCAGGCATACCCGGTTCCATAAACCTCGAAGGCTTAAACGCTTCAGGTTCAACCCATAGCTTCGGGTCACGAGCGATGGCAAAGGCGTTGATCATCAATCGCGAGCCTTTGGGCACAGAGAAGCCTTGGAGTTTCGTGTCCTCAATGGCCTCGTGAAGGATGAGTGGGATCGGTGGGTGGAGCCTCATGGTTTCTTTGAGTGTGCATTTGAGGAAAGTTAGTTTCTCGAGGTGCGTCTCATCCACACGCTGGCCAAGACCCACGACCTCAGCAAGTTCTTGTTGGAGCCGTTTGAGTTCGTCTGGATTACGTAAGAGCTCCGTCAAAGCCCACTCTATCCCTGACGCCATCGTCTCTGTTCCTCCGAACATAACATCCTTCGAACCACAAAATAAATAAATAAATATATCGAACTAATAATGTTTAATTATAACCAAAATGATATTTTATACATAGAAAAGAAAATTCATTTCTACTGATAATTATTCCAACTAATACATAATCCTCCAATATATAACTATGAACTTCGAATACTTTTTCGTAACATTGGTCGAAATAAGTTATCAAAAACAAAATTTGGTCGAAATATCATTATACTATAGTATTTATTATAGTAGCTAGTAGCTACTACAACATCTGAACCGAAGTATATGTTCACGAAATTATAAATTTTGTATAAATGTGAAAGATCACGTAAGTAAAAAATTTAATAATGAATGATTATTAAGAAAAGAAAAAATGAAAAAGGGTTATAACGTTTTTGGCTTTACCATGACGAGCGCCTTGATATTATCGCGTGTGAGTTTGATGGAGTTCTTATTACTATTAGTTGATAAATCCTCGCTCACTAAATTTTCTTCTTCGCTGTAAAACGCAAGTAGATCATCCACCATATCGGTGTCTTCATCATCGTTTAAAATCTCTCTCTTTTTCATATGCTCATCGATAACTTCATCAATGAACCCGTCAAGATCGTTACGTGCCTTAACGAGCCTCTTGTTTATCCCATGCAGATCGAACCAGCCTAGGAACGGTACGAAGTCCGCAACGTTGAATGCTCCAAATAGCTTTGAGAACTCTTGCAAGATCCTTATGAATTCGTCTTGTTCCGTCTCACATGCGGCACCAAACGCTGCTCGGTACGTTATGTTCCGTGTCAATGTGAAAATGAGCTCTCCAACGTTCACGGGCTTACCGACGTTGCTAGACAAAGACCGGACCATCTTGTTTACTTCGTCGCGGACCGAGGCCCATGACTCAGCTCGTCTACGGCTAAACACCTTCATGACGCATACTTTCCTCATTTGTCTCCAAAAGGGTCCATAAGGAGCGAAAGCCATGTCGGCTAGGTCGTAGGTTAAGTAGTTTATGGCTATTGTCACAGGCCGATTCGAGAAGCTGATGTCTTGAACTTGGAGAACTTGTCGGGCCACGTCGGGTGATGTGATGGCAAACACGTGGCGAAACCCCATTCTTAGGTGGAACAAGCCCCCGTATGTTTCGGCCAGCTTGGCTAGACCATGGTGTGTAAGTTCGTCCATCATGAGCATGTTTCCAATTATGGGAAGGCCTTTGGGACCAGGAGGATAGAGCGGTTTACGCCATCTCGAGATGAGGTAGGCTAGGACGAGAAGATGGACGGTGATGATAAGAGCCGTCGTTGTGGGATATATTACTTGTGTTTGTGATATTAGAGACTCCATTTTTAGGTTTTTCACTAAATTTTTGAGGTGATGTGATATTTAGGCTAATGCTAGTTTTATAGTGATAAACTGGGCCCTATCTATCGACTTTTCTTTATATCACATTTACAAAAATCAATAAATAAATTAAATAACTTCAAAGAGTGGACTTTTTTCCTATAAAATAACGACTTGACTTTTACAAAATCAAGTATTTTTTTTGTGTTGGATATATATAATGTTACACTAGATTATGTATAGAATATTGGTCTATCGTTAGACATACTGATCTATTACTCATAAATATGATGACCTTACGAGTGAAAACATGTTTATTCATACTTGTGTATTTCGGTTAATTACTTGATATTTACGATTTTGAAGAAATGCACAATGTTGAAATTTAAAATCTAGTTTCCTCGACTTCCCTCTTAATAGTATAACCCAACCCATCGTTAAGAAATTGATGGGATCATTAAGAAAACTGAAACAAAGAATCACACCTAGAATAGTATAAATTAAGGGTGAGCGTACGTACATATGAAAGTACAAGCTCTATTAATCAACTAATTAGTTGTTAGTTGAGTATTTTAATATCTAGAGACCAACTTCTTTGGCATGATTTGGGACCCTTTCTTCAACGTTCGTATGATAATTTGTTGTTGGGCAACCAAGAGATCTAGTTATCACATTATATATATAAACAAAAACATATTATTAATTTAGCATTTTAATTTGCTCCAATTTTAATAAGGAAAATAACCTTTGAATTTTAAATTCCGTTCATTTTGTTTTCCGAAATTTTTAATGTTTGCTTATCAAATTCACTTCTTTTTTTTTTGGTATCAAATTCACTTTTGATGATATACAAATTTCATATATTGCTCGGATGAAATTTTTGGAAGATTCACTTAAAATGGCATTACCCAACATTACTTCCTCTTTCTTTCTCTTTTGTGAAATTAAAGAAACATTACAATCATTTTATTTTGTATTAAAAAATTTTTTTTGTATATTTTGTTGAAAAGATTAACCTACAATAAATCGAAATATACTGGTATGTGGTATGGGACAAACGGTACATTTGAATAGTACTAGGTTCAAATTTTGTGGACGCATTCATGTTAAGAATTCTTTAGCTGACAGTTTCATCTCCGGATATTAACCCAACACAATGATTATATATGAAAATTTAATCACTAAAACCCAAAAAAAAAACACCTAACCTCAAACACAAGTAGATGAACATAAATATTAAAACATCATCTTGTCTAAGTTTGTTAGCGAATGATTCTTCAAAAAGAGCATGACTCATTTCCTCCAAGTTGTTGACACTCGTGCGACCAACTTTAATTATAAGCCAAAAATTTTGGAAAATTTAGGTTATTCTAAGTATTAGAAAAAAGAGGTATAGATTGGTAATTATTTTACTTAAATTCTATTTGAAAATATAGGTAAAAATAGTTTCTTAATTAGTAACTTTTACATTTTTGCACTAACCATATTTCTAATTCGATGTCACCACATACAAAAACAAAAGGCAAAAAAAGCAAACCCCAAGGTCAAAAATCAGAACTGATAGAGAACTAATCCGCTAAAAATGTAAATGTTAGGCCCAAAAATTCGGCCCAAAAATTCGGCCCATTACGCAAAAATCTGGGAGGGTTAAATATATCACCTCTACGTCAATTCATCTTCTACCTCTTTCTCGCTCTTCCTCGTCAAGTCGGCTCCTTTATTGCTACAGGTTTGTTTCTTCTCCTTCTTCTTCGATTCAATTCTTCTTTCGACTCCCATTAGGGTTTGCTTCGAACCCTCATAGTATACTGATTTGGTAAAAGTATTTGATTGGAAATTCAAATTTCGATGTGTATGAAACTAAATCTAGTTGATTAGCATCCTTATTGTTGTTCATACTTACTTAGACGTTTTTTTAATCAATGGTTCGTCTTTTCGAGTTTCTGTTGTTATGATCTGGTTTTAAGCAATAGAAAGTTTCGTTTTTTATGCATCGTTGGTGGGTTTTTCCTTACTTGATCTGATCTGATCTGATCTCTCTGCTTTATATCAGTGAAAAGTTTCGAGCTTTAGAAACAATGGCAGCTTTCCCCAACCTCAACTCTGCTTCTGGATTGAAGAAGCTCGATGAGCATCTTCTCACTCGCAGTTACATCACTGGGTTAGAATTTTTTTCCATTCTAAGGACTGTCACATTTATCTATCTTTTTCTCAAACAATTGTAGTAACCATTAGTTTCCTCTGTCTCTATGTATGTATGTTTATAGGTACCAAGCTTCAAAGGATGATATCACTGTCTTTACAGCTCTTTCAAAGCCCCCAACTTCAGAGTATGTCAATGTTTCTCGTTGGTTCAACCACATCGATGCCCTCTTGAGGATCTCGTAAGCTCCATTGCTTTCTATGCTTTACCAATTAAAGTTTTGCAGTTTAAATTTGTCTAATGTTGTTTTCTTATAACTTTTCTGTATTTACAGTGGTGTCTCTGCTGAAGGAAGTGGTGTCATTGTTGAAGGATCATCACCTATCACAGAAGAGGCTGTTGCTACCCCCCCTGCTGCTGATTCTAAGGTAATCTTGATTTTTTTATGGTTTCTCATAATGTTCTCTCTAAGTTGTACATCGGGGAGATTCATGTGTATGTATATGTGTAATTGTAGGATACTGCCGCTGATGAAGAAGATGATGATGATGTTGACCTTTTCGGGGAGGAGACTGAAGAGGAAAAGAAGGCTGCTGAAGAGAGAGCAGCTTCTGTGAAGGCATCTACAAAGAAGAAGGAATGTAAGTTTGCGTTTTTGCCTTAGACATTTAAGTTTACGATACGAAGATGTCTTGGATTTCTCATCTGGTTTCTTCTTTTAATTCTTCAGCCGGAAAGTCATCAGTTTTGATCGATATCAAGCCGTGGGATGATGAGACCGACATGAAGAAGCTAGAGGAATGTGTAAGATCCATTCAGATGGAAGGATTGTTTTGGGGAGCATCAAAGCTTGTACCAGTTGGTTACGGTATCAAGAAATTGCAGATCATGTGCACCATTGTTGATGACCTTGTGTCTATCGACACCATGATCGAAGAGCAACTCACTGTTGAACCAATCAATGAATATGTCCAGAGTTGCGACATTGTTGCCTTCAACAAGATATGTAAGTTTCATGAATCTTTTCTCAACTGCTTTTTATACGATAATGCGGTGTGTAACTAATTGTGAATATTGGAATTGAAAATGCAGGAGGATGGAGAAAAGCTTGAACGAAGGACTGTTTATGTTATTGTTGTCTTCTTCTTCTTCTTCTATATCCTTCTGTTACTGTTTTAATTTGACTATGTGGAAGGGCTTTTGCCATCTCTAATTCATTTTGATATTTTGAAAGTTTCCACCAAACCTCAAATATGAAAATCCTAAGTTTGATAATATCGTTTCAAATTAGCTTGATTTCTATGATTATGAATTATGATTACAAAAAAAGAAATGCCAAAATCAGTATGAGAGAATATGAGAAGTCGAGAACAAGGACCTTAAACATGACACAATATTTCTGCAAGTTTTATACATGGCTCATGTCCTTTTGTAGTTTTTAGTTCCCACAAAAAGAAAATAAACAAAGATGGTAGGTTTCATATGGGTAATGCATGATCATTTGGTTGCTCAATTTAATTATTATGGTCTTGGTTTGGGTTTTCGAAGAGTATAAAACGAGAGGAATGGAGAGGACTTTATTTGAGAAAAGTCTTGATGGAGATATTGGTGAAAATGTCAAGCTTTGTGGTCTTCTTGTTAGTTTCTGGTGCTGTGTTGTTGCTGTTGAGTTCAAGCTCTGTTCACGGACTGCGATATAGACACGTGAGGAGAGTCTTTAATAGTACTGATCACTCTTCCGTTTTGGGTTCCAACAAAATGTTTGAAAGTGGATATAACAAAGCACGAAGAGTGCAAGAAGGTAATGTAAAAGAAGGAGACTGTGGAGGTTGTAGAGGTGGAGAAGGAAGCTGTGGAGGTTGTAATGGATCAGGAGGAAGTCGGGGAGATGGCGGAAGAGGAGGAGGCCGCGGAAGAGGAAATGGCAAAGGAGATGGGAAAGGACAAGGTGACGACGGTGGAAAAGAAGATTGCAATGATAGGAGCAATGGTGATGGTGTTGGTGTTGGTGTTGGTATTGGTATAGGTATAGGAGGTGAACCTAGCCCTGGATCTGGAGGTGGTGGAGGTGGCGGTGGCGGCGGTGGTGGTGGTGGTGGAGGAGGAGGAGGCGGTGGGGGAGGTGGAGGAGATGGATATGGATATGGACGTGGATGGGGCGGAGGAAATGAAGGAGGAGGTGGAGGAGGATGGGGATGGGGAGGAGATAGCAACGGAGGAGTATGGGGTCCTGGAAACGGTGGTGGTTGTTGGTTTCCCGGTTGTGATAAAAAGTCAACGAAAGGTCAACACTAATCAACATATTTATAGACCACACTCTACATTTATTTACTTCTACATGTTTGTTTTCAATATGGATTCTTTCTCTACTTATGGAGTTGCTTATAATTGGATATATTCAGTTAAAACATAATGAATGGTAATAATACTTCCATTTGCTCTTGTTACAATATTTCTCTATCTTGAGAAAGGCAAATGTTTTGGTTTATGTAGGCCGCATAGAGTGGAGATAATCTTAATGTACAATTCGTAACGTTACGTTGGAGTTGTGTTAAGTAAAGAGAAGTTGCAAAGTAGGTAGATCAAATTATTTAAATCTTTGATTTCTTAAGACTAAGATCCTAGTCCTAATTACTAAACAAGATTGAGATCGAGTAGTCTTGTGGCTTGTCTTTGTCCACACTTACATGCGATGTCGTGACTTCAATTTCAAATTCCATCTAATGTAGTGAAAACAAAATTACTACTAACAATATATTTCATATTTTATAGTGCAAATTTATCTACTTTTCTAACTAAGAGTAACGATCACAAGAAATAGCCATATAATCATGATATCAATAAATTTTGCACAAACTAACTTGTCTAATGTTGAAATTTTGTACTATTGGTCTTTTATATCTTTTGAAGATCTTTCAGCATAATCAACGTATTTAATATTGTATTTTTTAAAAAATCTAAAAATTAAATGATCAATTAGCAACGGAAATCATTCCAATAATAAATTTTAACGACGGATCTGAACTTTTCAGCGATATGACCGTTACTTAGTGGCTTGTAAATTGTAATTAAAAATCTGACTATACGCATATACTATCTTAATCAGATTAACAAGTTCAAAGTTCAAACCTCATCTTATGTCCAGAGCCGTGTCTAGAGATACGAAGACCGTAGGCGATGTTTAAAAACTATATTTTTTACCAAAAAAAAAAACTATATCCCAGTTCATAAAAATGAAAAATTTCTCCCACAAAAAAAAAAAAGATAACAATAATAGTGGAGTAAAAAAAATATATAAACCAACCCACGTTGGTCCAGTTGGTAAAGGGCTCACGGCTGTGAGTTCCCCCTCCTGGGTTCGATTCGGGTTGGCCACCTAGCCGCTCCCTTAACGATGGGGTAAAGCGTACCCGGATGCAAGACCTTGTGGATTAGTCTTTGGGCCTAGGAAGCCTTTGGAATCCCACGGTTATCAAAAAAAAATATATATATATAACTCTAAAACATCATTTCTCTTTTTGTAATTAAATTTTCAAAATCAGTATTTTAATAAATTCTTTACTGATGGACAAGATAATCAAACATCAAAGATAAAAAAGAAGTTTTAATCCACTATTACCGTATATTATCCTAATTGTTTTTATTTTAGTACTTAATTTTGAAAAACATCTCTCTATTAAAAGCGTCACGTGTTAATGTTAAGAAACAAATCACAAGCATCATGTTTCTCTAGTAAAATTTCAGACTTAAAATTATGTTTAATAAATATTAGTAAACATTGATTTTTTTAATTTAAACAAGGCCGTAGGCGAATGTTTTATTTTCTTCAACGTAGCCACGGGCCTGCTTATGTCTCGCTAGCTTTTTGACCTTGTAGACACTTCAAATGCTAAAGAAAAAACTATGTGGTTTTTGTACATGTTAAAGCTAAGAGCTTTTGGCATGAAATTTGTTATAACAAGAGAACTTATGATTCGACGCTTCGAACGACACAAGGGCTAAATAGATAGAATAAGAGATAACAAATGTATCCGTACAAGATTTAAAGAGATGCCAGAGTAGCGAATAACCAACCATCAACCTCATTTATTGGAATTTACTGCTATAGACGATCCCTAATCATGCATAGGCACCTTACACAATTTACATAAATCACGTTTCATGAGTAGTCTTTTTCGTATTTAAATTTAATCATCTATTGACAAAAAAGAAAAGAAAAACAAATTACGTACGTATCTATTTTGTTCTTACGAAAACTATTACTATGGTTGCACAGTTGACATTCTTCTTTGCAGGAACATTTACCACAGATATTATTCCCAATGGACTCTTCTTATCTAATACGTTATTTTTTTTTTTTCTTTTTACACCATCTTATATATATGTTAATTTATCCACCTTCTTAAAATTAGAAACAAATGTTTAAACGGATGATACTAAATTTTTTTTTGGCAACATATATTATAACTAAACTATGTAAGATAAATCTTATGTTATCTAATTTTATGAGAAACTGATTTATAAAATAAAATAAAAAACTCAAAGTTTATATATTAAATCCTGAGATGTCAAAATTTAATTTTGTAAATGCGCTAAAATATTTTAAACTAAAATAATAATATATAAATATCATACAAGAACATACCCTTTTAGTCTATAGATAAACTTACAAATTAAATTTCAAATATTTTAATGATTTATATATACAAATAAAATTGCATTTACGTCATTCATAAATTTAGAATTATAGATTCGCAGTTTTAGTTTAAATTTTTGTAATATATGAAAGTGTGGATCAGTGCCGGCCCGAATGTATGGGCTGCCAAAAGCAAGCCAGATAATTGATGCTCCAATGAAAAGAAAAAAAATCGTTTTAAAAGACTACATAGAGTAGAGAGAAACCAAGCTTAACCACTAGACCTATTGAACAATTTTGGAAATGATGCCCCTAAAATTATTTATAACATCTAATACCCTAAAGCCCTAGCTTCATGAGCTTCTGCCACGGGCCGGACATATATACTATATGTTGATACTGTTTTCTCTAACATAACGATTCACCGCGTTACTTCATTTGTTAAGTATAATGAGTTTTGGATAATCTTGAATCAACAAAGTTTTTATAGAGAACATTGCATACGAATAAAATAAAGAAAACTGAAATTTTTTAAGATCTTGGTGGGTTTTCATAAAAATGTGTAGTAGGCATGGACATGTTTTCCGGACCTTGGTTATATAGAATTCCCTTAAAGAGATGGCCAGCTATGCCCACCGTCGTTTGGTATGCATATTGGCCCTCTCCATCATCGGTACCACTCATTCTAACGCACCGGAAAAGTGCATCCGAACTCACTTCATCTGGAAATGTTGTCTCTTCCATCTCTAACCCTACCAAAGTTACACAAACTTAGTGCAAACACTTCACAACAAACATATATCAAAAACCTCAACAACAGAACTATGTTCATATTTTCAAACACAAATTTTTATATTTTACTTCTTACACTAAAAACTAAAAAGTAAAATGGAATTACTGTTTCTAATCTCTTATAATGTTTTTGCAATTTCTAAATGATATATATATAAAATGATATTTGATAAAGGTGAAAATGATGCATTGGCTTGTAAAAATAAAGATTAATATGCAACAAACAATGGAAAACTGAAACCAAACCTGATGAGTCTAAAGTAACCGGTTGATTAATCTCTCTGTAATTCCCAACTCTCTGGCCACCGCCATTTCGGTTGGAGATTGGCGTCTGTATCTGCTGCTGCCGCTCGCGGCGTTTGGCGATGGGGATCCACGTGCTCCTCACGTGAGTAGGACAGTGGAGCCCGTGGCTCTTGCAGCAAGTTCTACACCGTCCATGCGTGCACCCTTTCTTGGCTTGGTTTCCACAGTCTTGACAGCTTATTGTTAGGGATCTGGATGACGTGGTCAAATCACAGACGTCGATCTGACCCGGATATAGATCCAGGCTTGGCTGCTGCCATATCTGATTGTTGTGGCTCATACTTAGGTTATTATTGGTGTTTCTGTACCAAACCCAGTTTGTGTTTTGTTGATTGTCTTCTTCGTTGTTTCTTGATGATCCTATCCCAGCCATTTCAAACTTTGACCTAGCTCCTCCTCTAACCCTAATCTTGAGTTTACAATATCCATAATTCAAAAACCCTAGTTACCATGAAGTCTTGAGCTTTTGATAACTCGGACCGCTTTGCCTTTTTTCTTTTAGTCTCTCTTTAGTAGCTTTCTCTCTTCTTTCCCTTTGCCAATGGCCAAAATTTTATGTTTGTCTCTCTCTTAGAAATGGATTTTTGCAGATTTTGTGAATCCAAAGTGAAGCAAAATGCTTCTAGTTCTTCTATTCGTCTAAAAGCAAAACAAAATCAACCAAAGAACGTTTCTCTCTTTCTCCTACCTCTCCTATATTTTCTATCTTCTTCTTTATCTCTTTCTCTCTAACTCTATGTTCATCACTACTACTAATCTCATGGACCATAGCTTACCACGTGGCAGTGATTTTTAACCGGAAAAAAGTCGCTATAGGCTGTGTCCCAATGTAAATATTAATATACACCATCCCAAGCTCTACTTAATTAATCGCATAAAGGTTTTAGTTAAGGTAATTTGAAATTTAATACGAGAAAGAAAAGAAACCTAAATCGGTGTTATGATCTATAAAATGGGTATTTTTTTTTTTTTTAAAAAAAAAAACCTAAACAAAGGTTGATAAAACTTATAAATTTAATACACCACTATGCACATGCAATCACTCACCGTTTTTCGTAAATGGTTGTAAGTATTTGAATTGAAAAATGTTCATCTCTTAGAGAACTTTACTGATGCTGTAAAAAAAAAAGTTTACTTGTAATTAATTCAGATCCCATATACATATATGCACAGAATTTTAAAATATACATGGAACGAAAAAATAAGAGAAGCATGTTACTCTAAGTTGTATATAGTATATAGTGTGGCTATGCAAGGGAACATTGCGCCACCTACATGTCCTTTTTTTTTCTTATCATATTTTCTTAATATGATAAATGTTTGGTATATTTTGTAACTATTATGGTGTTTTTTTTTGCTAAAATTTGAAAGTTCGACTTCGACGGATATTAATTAGGAGATCTCCAACTAACTTCGAATTTATGATCTAACTAAATATTATTATTTTGATTTTAGCTGAAATCCGAAAAAAAATATCAAAACTGTTCTTAATTAACAGCATTTCGGAATATAATCCAAACAAAAATATCAAAACTGTTCTTAACAACATTTTGGAATAAAATCTGATTATCGAATATCTCTCTTAAATAAGATGTTGTTTTATGGTGATCTTATCCTCAAGTTATTTTTTCAATTGATATTAATATATCGGAAACTAAATGATGTAGGATAGTGGAATTATTGAAAGAGAAATGGTTCCCACATTTCGTTAACTAAATAAATCCAGTACAATCTAAATAAAACTTGAAAAAGAAAACTAAGCAAATTAAAACCTACCAATGTTCAACGAACACTACTTATTAAATAGAGAAATAGAGAATCCTAAAAGAAACCAAATAAACTCGACCCTAAGCTGTCTCATCCTCCGGCAAGTAGTATCTGTTCTTCAACCAAATAGCATCGGCAATAACAGGCTCGTCGTCTTTATTCCTATGCCAAGTGTAATGGGCATGAGTCCTGTTCTTTATCTCTAAAAGAGCGTGTCCGAAACTCGCCTCCCTAAACGCCGAGTAACTTGGTTGGGGATCGGTGAAACTACATGAAAAATAGATGATTTTAATCAAACAACAAAGAAACAAAATGTTTAATCAAAGTCACTGTATAATGTTTTAATTTTAACCTGTTAGCGATTCCTTCTATGTTGCCTCCATCTCCAATGGTGATGTAAACCGGAGCATTTTGATCTTTCACCGGAGTACTCAATCCATCAGTGATATTGTACTTAATATTGGAGACGCGCTCTGATCGCTCGTAGGCATGAACATGACCAGCAAAGACAATATCGACTTTGTTTTCGACGAACCATGGCTCGAATGTAACTCTCATGCTCTCACCCTCCATATAATGATAATTGTTGCTGTTGTACCATGGAGCGTGAACCAGAACAATCAGCCACGGAGTCTCTGATCGGTTAACTTTCTTGAGCTCATCCTGGAGCCACGAGTTCTGTGGCGTGTACTTGTCTATGGTAACGTGTCACACAAGAAAAACATTAACATTGTAATATAGATTAAAAAATAGTAGAGTGTGAGTCTTAGATCGTACCATAAGCTGAGTAAGAGGAGAGTACGATGATGTAAGCGGAGGCTCGTTTGATTGAGTACCAAAGTGGAGATGTACTCTGTGAGGCTTTGTAAGGAACGTGGTAACGGTGCATGTACGGCTTGAAGGGTTGAGTCTCGCCCTGCAAGCGGATTTAATGGTTTAACACTAAAACTAAAAATGTATGGAAATAGATATATAGATTAGATCTTACTATGCTCTGGGCGTAATCTATCTCGTGGTTCCCTGCGGCCCAAATCCAAGGCTGATACGCGGCGCTTGGTTCCACAAATCGGCCGTATGAATCCCATTTTCTTTGGTCGTGGTTAGGATGGTCATCAGCGTAAGACAAATCTCCGGCGAAAAGCACAGCTTGGCCTTTTGGGTTCGACATGTAGTTGTACAATGTCTGGTTAGAGGCATAGGTTTGTCCAAGATCACCTAAAGAAAAAGTTAAGGTTAATTAATGAAATTAGGTTCAAAAGATTAAAACTCATAGTTGAAATGATGAATCTATGGACTACGTACCTATAACACCGAATGTGTAGGGAACATCTGGACCGATTTTTGGAGGAGTCATGAAGTTGAATTGTCTAGTAGAGCGACCGGTTCCAAGCTCGTAGAAATACTTAGTATCGTACTAAATAAGGAAGAAAGACAAAAAGGTTAATTTACTTACAACCCTATTTAAGTAGATATATTAAATGGGAGACAGTAAATTTACGATACCTCAAGCCCTTTTATGGTGGCATGGTGAAGATAACTAGAGGTGTAATCGAAGTATCTATAGGACGAAGTTGTCGCTATAGCACTCTTATTATCACTACCATCACCACTAGCGATCCAATATGTAACGATGTTAGAACCATCCTCGTTTAATGGTGTTACCCACGAGATGATCATACCTCGACCAGAGTGATCTCCTTGCGTTATGTGAACCTGAGAAATGAGCAAGAGTGAACGCTCATAAGTCAGTGATAAAAAAAAAACAGAAACTGTAAAAAAATGATTTTATAAAGAGAAATTGAGAATCACTTGTTCCGGAGCGTTGTAGCCGGCAGGAGGAGGAAATGTTTCTAGTGGCATTTCTTCGGAAGGTTCCGATACTCTAAGATATTTAGAGGTAACTCCGGCGTGAGTCACGGGAAAGAGGCTTATCAACACCACTGCATAGCAAACGAATGCTAAACGATTCAACTCCATTTGAGAATTGGTGTCTAAAGAATTCTGATAGTTTCTTGTAAATGATATTGTATGATGTGATCAATGTTTTATATAGGGAAGAGAGAATTCTAGGTATATTCCAGTTATATTCTCGTTGAAGATTTTATTCCAACCAAAATTAGTTTAAAAATATATATAAGTATTATTCCTATTTCTCATTTAAAAATGAAAAAATCAGAAAGAAACCGACAGTTTTTTCTCAACAATTGTTATTGTTGATGCTAATTAAAAATATATGTACTATTAACTGGGAATCGTTTGACAGAAAATAACCTTAAATAATGTAAAATATTATATATAGTATGCCATTGATTTTTAGTGTTTATAAATAAATTCATTAAATATACAATAGTAATTACAAAATTAATATTTTTAAACAAAAAATCGTTAAAAATTTTAAAGTAATTATTAGTTTGCAAAAAAATAAATTCACTTTTCCAATCTTATTAATTATGGACGAAAATTTGATTTAAATTTATAAAAATTGTTAACCAATGAGTATTGAAAAGATAAGATTTGATATCCAATTATACTATATTATTTAATTAACATTTTGGAAATTAGTTTTTATATAAAAATTTTAAAAATCCTAAAACTTGCTTGAAAGTTAATCATTAATATAAATCATAATTTGCGATAGATAATTAAATTCGATTTTAGAATTTTGGGTTAGTTACAAAAGCTGTGGAGTTCCGATTTTGTTTTATCTAAACCAACCAACCATAATCGACTATTATATATCAAACATAAAAATAAAAATAATATCATTTTAATTCAAAATTAAAAAAAAACACTATCGTTTTAAAAATTTTTATCAATGGAGGATTTTAAGATTGAATTTAAAATTTCGTAAAAATATTAAAGACAACATTTATAAGATTCAATTTTGTTATAAATTTTCAAAAAATTTGAAATATAAAACAAAATTTTATTATACAATTCCTAAAATTTCGATATTAGATATTAACATAAATTTTTATATATTGTTTTTTTCCTTCTTAACCGGATCTTCCTTAAATAAATTATAAATCCATAATAGATTGCCCACTGTTTTTCATATATATTTATATATTTTTCATTCAAAACAAATTATGTAGCAATAGTAGATTCCTTTATAGATGTATGATGTATCTCAAAATTTTGAATACAAATTTATAAAATTCGGAAAAAAAACTCTGATTTTTGTTTATAAAATAATCTGAAATTAAAGAACCAAAATAATAAGTAATAAGTATCCAATATTTATGGAAATCTGTTGAAACTGTAAATATGTAAACTTATTTTTTTTTGGTAATGCATTATTAGATATCTCCGGAAACAATAATCTAATTTAATAGCAGATTAATTAAAAAAATATCATTTAGTTTAAATTTTAAACAAATTCCTTAACAGAACTATGCTAATTAATCTGATTAGTACACATGGAAAAACTAAAACGATTTTAAAATTTGATTGGTTGTTTCCAAATAATAATAAAAAAAAGTTATTATATTTTCCATATTAATATAAACTAAATATTTACATCCTTTGAAAGATAGCATATTCCACAAATAATTTTTGGATTTGAGATTCAAAAATATCTCGAAAATATTTCAGTATATATTAAATTATTTGAAATTTTAATTAGAATTTAAATTATATAATATCTTAGAATTGCTTTTTTAAAAGTAGTTTTCATTATTCTAAATATAAGGAACTATTGAATTTAAATCAAGATGAGTATTTTATTATTTATATAATTATTAGCTGTTAAAAAGTTTTCACATTACAATTAATTCAAAATGATTCTTTATAATTTATTCACATTTAACGCTTTCTTAATTTTACGATTTTATAAACATTCGTTTCTTAAAATTATGGAGCAAATTTATTAAATAAATTCAAAATATCTATATTTAATAAAGAAAATATTAATTAGATATTTGATTAACTATATATTATATCAAAAAGAATATTACTGGATTTAAGATATTATATCAAGTCGGTGTTCATTTTTGCATTTATACTAAATAGTAAATATAAATTCTTATATATGTGCACTTACACAGTAACAAACGTCAACAAAATGTATGCCATATTTTAGTTGATATATCATTTACAGTTTCAATTTTTTGTGTGTGTTTTAATTTATGATATATTTGTAAACTTTAACAGTATATATGTTAATCCACAAAACTCACAGTCATACATTGTATGGTATTTAAACGTAAGGAAACAAGAATTTGAAACATGAATTTAATGGAATGGAATGAGAATATGAATTACGAGACGGGAAAGACATGAAAAGAGACGGGACGGGATGGGAACATAGATTGAAACCAAACTGAAAATCAAAAATACCAACTGGTATGAGTTCGGGTTATGAGCACTATAGAAATAATAAAATAAATTTGTGTATGTATTCTGTTACATATATTATATTTATTATAGATACGGGATGGTAATATTTTTATTTTACGTATACTGGATAGATCATGGGACAAAGAATTTATGACTAATACAAGACAAGATAAGTTTCCAGTTCTAAAATAGTTACGCCTAGCTATTATACATGAAATAACCCAAGCTAAAACAGAATCCATATCCTATTAACATACGTAATCAAACTATTAGAAATATTTTGGATAGTTTAGAAAATAATAACATAACATCACTTAACTTACCAATTAAATTATTTCTTAATTATCTTACAAAGATAATCTCACACGTACGTGTAGGTCCAGATCTTAAAATATAACTACGCACGATAACAACTGAATTTCGCTCATTACTCGAGCTTTATAATATCTAGGCTATAACGAATTTCACTAACACAACAAAATGTTGTATATTTTAAAAATCTATGAAACAATTTCCATAAAAATATATCTTCGCACATACGTGCAGGTCAGGATCTAGTACAAATCTCTCTCTCGGAAACAAAAAATGAGATAAGAAGATGTTCGGCCTATTTTCTTCAATCTAATTATTTAAAAGATTATAGTTAGGATATCGAATATTTAGAGACTATTTTTTAAAGATTTCCCATTATATTGGTTTGTTTATATTTTTGAGAGATATTTGAAAGATATCTCGTAATACTTCTATTTGACATTTCGCCTTTCATGACCATTTTGCATTAGTCTATTTAATGGTATATAGAGTCAAGGATGTGCCTTAGTTATATAGGATTTGAAACAATGGACTACTGCCTTTCTTTTTCAGAACCATTTAAGCGTCAATTAAAAAATATTATTGTAACTTAGACTTATATATGGAAACGTGATTTTCTATATATAAAATCAAGTACAATTCGATTCTTTTTCTCAAAATAAAGTAAGACTTCTATAATCAATAATGTCGGGACCGATAAATGAATAATTATTAAATTTTACATAGTTTTGACTAATTTTGTAATTTAAAAAAAAAAATCAATCTAAAAAGAATTTTTTAATAGAGATCAATATCTTTTTAAAACCAAATACAAGTCAAAAACTAATTATTATCCCAAGAAAACAATACAAAAATATTTCGATGTAGAAAAAAATATTATAAGTGAGCTCTACTAAAGATTAATGCATATAAAGAAAAAAATATACTAAAATGATATTTTACAAAATTTTCTTATATATATATATATATATTGGTAAGTTTATACAATTATTAATTTATGATACTGATGAGACCATATAGTTACATAGAATTTTCAAACAAATTATTATTTTATTAAATTATATTAAATATTATATTGGTTTGACTCGGAACCGAAATATTTATTAATTTATAGTGATTATTAATTTATCGAATATTAATTTATAGAGGTTTTTTTTGTACGAACTATTCACAAGTTAAACTTCAATTTACAATTGCGTTCACTTATTTTTTTCACCTAATCTATTTGGATGTTGTATAATTGCTAAATCATGTTAAAAATCACCGTAAATTTACTATCTTAGATATAGCTTTGAAATATGCATATAGACAATAACATATTTTAAGTCGATTTTCAATATTTAAATTTGTTATGATAACATAGTTAGAGGTGATTTCGGCGTGACTCACAGCAAAGATGGGTAGCAACACCACGGCATAGAAAACGAGTGGTAAATGATTCAGTTCCATTTTGGATTTGGGTGGAGAAAATAATGGTAGTTTCTTGAGTTGTAGATATTAGATTTTATGATTTGATGGATGTTTTCTATAGAGATAAGAGAATTCTAGGTATATTCCAATTAAATTCTCGTTCAAGATTTTATTCCAAAAATATTTAGTTTGAAAGGTATTCTAAGTATTATTCCTATTTCTCATTTTAAAATGAAAAAATCAGAACGAATCCGAGAGTTTTTTAATTACAGTTTTTTCTCAACAATTTTTCATGTTAATGCTAATTAAAAATATATACAAAATCTCTCCCTCAGAAACAGAAAAGGAGATAAGAAGATGTTCGTAATTATTAAAAACGATTATAGTTAGGATATCAAATATTTAGAGACTATTTTTTTTAAAGATTTCCCATTATATTGGTTTATTTGTTATATTTTTTAGAGATATTTGAAAGATATCTGTTATACTTCTATTCGATTTTCAGACCATTTTGCGCTAGTCTAACTAATGGCGTATAGAGTTTCTATAGGGTCTTTAACAAACGTAATTTAAGAAGTTTTTTCTCCTCTTAGAGTGTTCACATAATCACCACAATAAAAATATAGACGCCATCAATAATTATGGCAAAGTAATTAGTTTTATGGTTAAATACATCTAATTATCTAAACACTAATCTAGAATTAATACACAATTTCAAATATAAGTTACTTGAATAATAATAACGGAAGTGTAACATATATATACGTATAACAAAATTTAAAATTAAATATGTATGTTAATATATGACCAAAAGTATGAACATAATCCATATATATATATAACTAAGAATAAAAAAATTAACAATGAAAAAATTCTTAGAAAATCAATGTTATTTAAGATGGAAAAATTTATTATACAATTACAAACAAAAAATATGTTTAAAATATTATTATTTTCTTTAGGTTAGAAAAAACAATAAATGTTTTTTAAGATAAAGAAAGAATTCATTTTTAAGCAAATAAATTTTTAAAATTTGAAACTAAATTTTAAGAGTGAGAAAGTATAAATTCACATTGACGAAACAAAAGTAGAAAGTTAAGTGTATTTTAATATTAAAACTATAGTAAATATAACAATTAAAATAATAGGATTTTTAAATATAAGTAAAACTCTAAATAAGTGTTGAGAAATTTTTCACAAGTATATATTTTCCGTAAAATTATTTGACGCTCAAGTGAGCGAAAAAATCATGCAATTAATAAGAGAAAATAGACTAAGAAAATGAGAAGGATGATATAATTCTTAGTTACAAATTAATTCAATGTTCAGTCTGTTATATGTAAGCGCACCGAAGATAAAAAGAGGGTAAATATTGGGAGGTAAGCAAGTGCATCATAGAAGATGACGAAAAAATGACATGAAAAAATGTTTAAACAAAAATTGACTAATGCTTGAAGCGTCGAATAAATGTATGCACATGACTTAAATAAAATCATTTTGATCTCATTCACTATGTGAAATGAATGAATTTATATGATTTGGTTTAGTATATCAGATTATCATATTCAAAATCAGGATAAACCGTTGAGCCATGTAAGCGTGGTAGAATAGATAAGATAGGGACATTCATGACTTGGTCAAAAATTTCTTAAGGCACGATGGTTTTGCTTCAATAGGTAAATCGTGCTTTTGAAATCTATTGAAATGACATGAATATTACGTTTATACATTTTCATAAATTGTTGTTCAAAGATATACTAAAAAGATCTGATTATGGAATAAACTCTTTTCTGGATAAAAGGTTGTGGATAGCTACCGAAATTGAATCATCTTATATAACTTTTGTTATTACGTGGTTCATACAAAATATTTTTTATAATCCCTTATATATTAATTGAGAAGCATTGTTAAAAAATAACCTTACTTTCATGTGTGATTAACGAAAATGCCATGCTGATGTGTCGTTCTCACAAAGCTTCTCAATCCATTTAATTAAAGACCCAACATTTATTAGGATATTTACAGATTTTGCCATTAGTTTTACTTATGTGTATTTTTTCCAATTAATTTATGCTTTTTTATTTTTTTAATTAATTAAAACGAAAATATAATTAAAATATATAATTAAGAAATACAAAATGGAGTACCAAATATTTTGTATATCTATTAATATAACAAGATATATATCATAAATCATGATAAACATAAAATATTAATACATAAATAAAAATATCACTAATCTTGATAATTAATAATACACTATCGTTTGTCTAATAATATAGAACTTGAACGCCTTCAATATCATCAATACATTAAAATATATTTAATAATCGTTTTGACCCGCACATAGTGCGGGTTGTTATCTAGTTTCTATATTGTATATTGTTTTGTAAAACAAATATGAATATAAATGACTATTATTATTTTTAACAATCCGTAATGCTACCGGCTTAAATTTAGTATTGCAGGGAAATAAATCTAGTAATATTTTAATTATAGAGAGTTTCAATCATTTAAACTTCCAAATTTCAAATTCTTGACACAAGGAAATAAAGACTCATACAAAATAAAAACACACAAACATAAATTCCTTCCTCAAAAACATGTCACATTTCTATTTGGCCCATCCAATACTAGGGAATCAAGAGTTATTAATTTTCCTGCAATTCTTTCTGATCTCACCACTCGAACCTGTCAAGGGAGAGATATTCCCCATCTTGATCATCGACTCCGCGAACTGCTCGAAGAACTCTTCTTGATCCTCTGCATACTTCTTCACCAGCTCTCTCGATTGCTCATTGCTAGAGAACAAGACCTCGTCGGAATTCAACAGTCCCATCTTCTCGATCAAGTTCTTGAAGTAGCTGTTATCAAATCTTCCAGCGCTGTTGATGTCAAGCTCCGACAGGTTCTGATCCCCACCCGATCTAGGGCACCTTTGGCGCAAGTTAGCAGCATAGGATTGCTCTAAGGTTGTGTCGGGACTTCCGTTTCCGGATTGGTTGTAAAGTCTCTGTCTGAAACTAGTGCATCTTGAAAATCCAATGGTGTGGCTCCCTGAAAAATATTTGGGTGAGATTATGGTACAACCGTTTTTTAAGGTTTAACTTAGCTTGAGAAGCAAGTAAAGTAATTTCTTCCTTGTGTGTGAAGTAAGCTTACCGGAGAGAGCAACGACGTCGGTGAGATCGAGACCTTGATTGTTAAATCTCGAGACAATTGTGTTGAAAGTGTTGTTGGGTGCAGGAATGTTGTTGTTTGATCCGCTCAAGCTTGCACTTCTCGAATCTCTTCTTCCCAAAGGAACCATCCAGCTTGGTCCACCAGTCTACACACAAACCGAACCAAATTAGATCTTGAGAACTTAAAGAAGCAATAGAGAGAGACATATAAAGAGGATGACTTACAAGAACAGAGGAGTCTCTAGCGGCTAGAGTTAAGGCGTCAGCACAAGAAACAGTGTTAGGGCATTCATTCTCTAATGCTGCCTTGATCTCGTCAACAACTTCAAACCCGCGAGCCGATCTGCTGTTAGGGTTTGAGTTCTTCTCAGTAACTATACTCCCACTGGTGTCTAGAAGCAACGATCCATCACAACCCTACACATTTTCGTACAGATAAATTTAATGATGATTATTAACACTAGTCGTTAGCTTGTTGAGCAAGTTACTTAAAAAAAATTCTAGTACCTGAACGAAGCAATCGTGGAAATGGAGCCTCATGAGAGAAGCAGCCATACGAGTCTCCCTTGCAACAGCTTTGGCTACAACTGACCTCACAATCTCCTCGGCTCTAGGACACGAGCTTCTGTAGAAACCTGGGAAGAGGTTCCCTTTGTTGCCGCCATAGTACATACTCTCGTCGTCATCGCAGATGCAGAGAGAAAGAGCGTAAGTGAGATAAAGAATAATGAGAAAGCTTCCTATTCTTGCCATTGTCAATTTCCGCTAGCTAGATCAATAAAGAAGAATGGAGGTGACTTTGTGATGGTAAGAGATATGGAAAAGGAGAGAAGAGTCGAAAGTATATATAGGCCAGAGAGTTCGTGGATTTTGGCGTCATGAAGAGGAAAAAGCAAAGGCAATAGAGTTGGTACCTTGATAAATTATGATAAATAAATTAAAAATGATAAGATATTGAAAAAAATGGTTTGAATTCAAAGAGACAAAATCTTGGGTTTGGTAAATGTCCCAAACTTGCATGAGTTGTTTGACTATTTCACCGCCATTTTGGTTACTATACTAGTTTTAAGGTTTTTATGAAGTTAAAACTAAAATTTATTTTGATAAAGCCAAAATAGAACCAAAAGTTAAAAGTAGTGATTAAAAAGTTTAGATTGAATTTTGTGACGAAACTATGGTGATTTAATAGTAGTTGACAATATATCACTAATTACGTTGAAAAACTAGGATTATTAATCTTTTTTTGGTTTTAGATTTTGAATCTTTTCATGCATTTTCAATCATAAGTTATTATTGTAGACACATTAAACGGTAAGATTGTTCGGCTCTTTACAGTTTCGAAAATTAGTTTGACTGCCACTTCGGGATATATAACTTTGTTTAAAAAGAGTGAATATATGAACTCTTACCGACAAATACAGAACGTCTAAATTGATCACGTTAGTCACATTTTTATTATTAGTTGAAACTAAGTAACAAGTTAGATCCAATGTATTGATATGAAATATAGATGTGACTAAATGACGACAAACATAGAAAGATAGAGGGAGAATTAGTTATATTTTTTTTTTGTTAAAGAGGGAGAATTAGTTATATATTCCGGTACCAAGTGCTAGTGCAAACCAAGATGAGTATTGTTGGGTTGTTGATAAGGTTAAGTGTAAAGGATTCTCCTCTCCAATGACATGGAATTTGTTGAGGCCAAGGAAAGAGGAAACAGATTGGAATGGTTCAGTCTGGTTTAAAGGTGCTATTCCCAAACATGCTTTCAACATGTGGGTCTCTCAGCTTAATAGGCTACCAACAAAGAAGCGTTTGTTCTCATGGGGTTTAATTCCTTCGCCAAACTGCAGCTTCTGCGATTCCGAGGTTGAGACAAGGGATCATCTCCTGCTCAATTGCAATTTCTCACAATGTATCTGGCGCTTGGTCCTTTCTAGGATGGACCCTAACAGGTCGCTGCTCCTATCGTGGTCTGAGCTTCTCTCTTGGGTTCGATTCTCCTCACCGACTGCTCCGTCTCTCCTAAGGAAAATCTCAGCTCAAACTACTATATACCATCTTTGGAAGCAGCGTAATAACATTGTCCACAATCAACAAGTCATTCCTTCAGCCACTATCTTCTTGCTTATTGATAAGGACATTCGAAACATCATCTCTTCAAGACGCCACCGGAAACGTTTCCGTAACTTGATGCAGTGTTGGTTATCATGATCTCTGTTTTGTGATTTCCCCAAAATTTGTCTCCTTGTTTTTATTCTTTTTGCCAAGGATTCAAAATCCATAGGCTGTACTATTGTATTAGCCAAACCTTTTCATATTTATGATATTAACATTTATGCAAAAAAAAAAAAAAAAAAAGTTATATATGAGTGAAAAGAAAATAAACAAATTAAATACTGTATTATACTCTATTAAAAATGGTGATTCGGTCACAAAGCACGCGGCAAATCTTAAACGCGTTTTTTAATTCTTGACACTTAAGATTTAAACCTAATTAACTATTATAAAAAAAAAAAGGAAGCTTTATATAGTTTTACTTGGTCGTGGTTTAGTAAAGTAGTCTAGCAAATATGTTTGTGAAGGTTTCACAAGTCTTCTTTTGTGTGATAAAATATTAACTAAAAGGGACAAAGAGTATGAACAGTTTCTAACTGCTCTCTTGACAAAACGAAAAACAAATAATATCCCTCAAATTTATTCGTTTGTTGACTTATTAACAATAAAAAATGCAAAAGGGTTTCTGTCTTCTATCATAAACATGGATATGCAGGTAAAAAGCAGTATCAAGGGAGATATAATACTATGAACATTTCAACGCGTGTGTGATTCCTACTTGCATTTGGTTTTGACTCTTGACGTCGTCTCTCTTTCTAGAAACTAATCAATGACTTTATTTATATTTTTTTTTGGTATCAATGTTAAGTAAACTAATCAATGGTCAAGAAACAAAAACCCAAAAACGCATGTCATCATATATCCTAAGGGGTACAAGGTACTTGGACTGAGTTATGTTTTGCAGAGCCATGTCTAGAATCTTAAGGACATAAGACGAGTTTAATTAATGGTTCTCCTTTTTTGCTAAAGATAATTAATGGTTCTTTGATATATCAAATATATATACTGTACGATTTTAATATTTATTTCAATTTAATACAGATTTTATGGATGAAAAACATTAAAACATTAATATGAAATAAGTTGTATCAAAATTAATAGATTATAGTTCATCATGAGCTTTATTTAGTAAAAAAGAAAAGAAAAAACTTAAAACTGTTTACAAGAACTAAATTCAGTTAAGATGATGTTTGGAGAAGCAATGGACCGATACGGATTTGCAACAAATAAAACTTTTAAGAAGCGGACCAGCAATATCTAAGTGGGCCAAACTTAATTAGGCTTAGAACAATATGGGCCGAATAAAGCAATAATTAAGAACATATTATTGGATTTTTGATTAGGTATAGACTTTTAGAGAGTGATGAACCAAAATGGACACAACAAAAAATCTTAGAATATGTAAAGAAATATAACTCTTTCTCAAACACTACAACCCCAAGTGAGCTCTCTTTCATAGGCTCGCCAAATTTAAATCGTTTCATCTTTAATTAACATCCTCGAGAACTAATTATCTTTAGAGTGGATCAATAACTCTCTCTCAAACACTAACACTCATAGTGAGCTCTTTAATCAAACTCATAGCTAGCTAGGCTCTTCGATTTTACATGTATTCACCCTTAACATATCGATTAAACAGTAGTTAATTATGGACAATCCGCGGCCTGACCGTAGAACTTAATCCTCTAATTACATCATATTACCACTTTTAAGCTTTTCTAATCAGTTGCATGGTTTTATTTTTAATTGAACACTATAATATTATCGAAATACAACACAGTGTCTGTCATGAATCCCTAATCATATGTTTGTTGCTTTATTATAACATTTTGTTTTACTCCATAAGATCTATACGAACAAAAGTGTTGTTATTGTGTATTGAGGATGAAAAATACGAAATGCTTATGAATCACATGTGTACCCATCAACACACACTTGTGGATCTTTAACACAAACAAACAAAAGTGCTCATTCATAGATAGGCACACCTAATAATTGTCTCATGTCATATGCGAAAAATAATAGCCCATCGTTAGTGACGAGATCATTTTAATTTTTTTATATATATATATGAAATTAAACAAATCAGAAGAAACAGCCAATTATTTTCAGCAACTGTGTAGCTTCACATATGCGAGAAGAATAGGACATCCAATAATAATTATTTTTATTTTATTGATGTTTATATTTCGTTTTCATATATGTCTTGATATTATAACATAAAGTTAAGATTGAAATCGTAAAGACACAAGACCAACTTTTTGTTTATTTATAATGAGATAAAAAGGATAAAAGATAAACATAAGCCTTATTTGTTAAGTTCTATGGGCTTCCAACTCAAAACCAATTGGCAATGAGTGGAGTGGCCCATATCCCTTATATATTACTTAGGATCCCTTCCAACTTCCGATGTGGGACATTATGTCCTAATACGCCCCCTCGAGATGATGGCTCTTTGGCCATTAATCTCGGAATGTTCGGGCTTAGATCGACGGCATCAATTTTGGGCCTTGTCGATGATTGGACCATCTTTGGGTCGGATCGGGTTGGACATGTGTGGATCGGGCTCTGATACCATGTTAAGTTCTATGGGCTTCCAACTCAAAATCAATTGGCAATGAGTGGAGTGGCCCATATCCCTTATATATTACTTAGGATCCCTTCCAACTTCCGATGTGGGACATTATGTCCTAATATTATTCACTCATAATAATACAAGTGTACCAACAATATAGAGATTTTAAAAGTCACGGATCAAATTTGCATTGGAAAGAGTTTGCTTTCTAAAAAAAATTAGATTATATGATCTAGGGAATGTACGGACTTATATGGCTTGAACCTTCTAATCATCAATATGTATATATATGTATGTATAATAATTTCGTCAAAAATCCAAAAGCAATAAAAATAAATTGACGTTAAATGTTTTTTTGGCCACATATGTAATAAATACAAAGAAATCTTCAAGATACCATCATTTTTATGAATGTTTTGCCAATAAACTTTAACACTTGTATTATTATTTATTACATTTCAAAAAAGAAAGAAAAATCATTGAATTTTATAAATTCCTGTCCTTTTGTATGAATGATACTTTTCAGCAAAAATATTTGACTGAATAAGGTTTTAATACATTTCTAAATAATTATGATACACCTAAGATTTCCTCATCTGTGTTTTAACTAAAAAAACCATAATCTTATATTAAAATTATGGGTTTTTGTTGATCATCTATATTAGATTTTTTTTTTTGGGCAAATGTAGCCTCAATTTGCAAAAACGTAGGTCAAATCCACAAAGTGGGATTTAACCATATAACCTTCATACACTTCGAATATTTTTTATTTTTCTAAAATAAATTTAAACTCTTAATTGCGAGGAACTCGATTTGTTATATAATTTTTCATAGTTAGCAAATTTACAGTGGTGACATTGGATTATATTATGTATTATATTAGACTTTGTAGATTTGACCTGTCATCTACTTTTTAACATTATTTGCAGAAAACCCAAAATTAATTGAAATTTCAGCTTATATATATAGAAATCATCAATCCAAAATGTGAGTTTTGTCTTTCTTAAAAATTACCAATCCAAATAGTTGCTTTTCTCGAAACATAATATAAACAAACCATAGCCGAATAACAATTGGAATATTAGGTTGAAAGACAAAAACATGATAACATAAACATATAATTATAACAAAACACACACCAATACATGACAAAGTACAACTCATATATATGCCCCAATATAAAAGTTTATATTTATCCTTCCAACCAATCAAAGATGCATGTACTATAATTACATCATCACACCAACCCAAAAACACCAAAAAAGCTAAACTTAAAATAAAATAAAATAAAAACAAAAAATGGGGCATCTAATAATTTAATTAATTTTTATTAATCAATACATATTGATATCATTAGCCATAATGGGTTGGTTAGTGTAAACCGAACCACCCCAATGATTAACACCACTCATCATATTCATATCATCGTAATATCCGTCAATCCCAACCGTACGATCATCGAAACCACAGCCGTCGATCTGGTCAACACCAAATCCTGCACCGTTGGATTGAACAAGATCAACGATCTCGTTGAGAGATTGGAGTCTGGTGCTAAGCTCCGTCATCTGAGCGGTGAGAACAGAGTTCTCGGCTTGGATCTTCATGTAAAGCTGAGATGTTACGGTGAGGCTGTTCAAGATCTGACGGTTGTCGTTTGATAGCTGATTGATCTGAGCCGTTAGATCATCAACATGTTTCTGTTTACGCATCCTTGATCTACGTGCAGATTCTCTGTTTGATAACATTCTTTTACGTTTTCGTTCGTCGACGGTGACGACGGAGTCCGACGGGTTATTATTACCACCGTCGGAAGAGCTCGAGCTCCGGTATGTGCTGCTAGATGACGCCATTGATTTATAACAAGAAAATTACAAGAGGACAAAACAAAAAGGACAGATTTTTATGTTTTTATGTTTGGTTTTTTATTTAATGATCTGTCGGAAAAATAATTAGCGTTTGGGAATGTTTTAGCAATTCATGAAACGTTGTAAAACCAGTAGAGGAAGACGACGGAGAAAGATTGAACGAGATGGGTTCTACGGCAGAGAGCAGATTTAACCGTGAGCCCAGAGAGCAGGATTTCGCAGAGAACCGGAGTCATCAGTTTCCGATCATCAAAGACTCAGTTTTTTTTTTATGTTTTCTCGGCCTGAATTTATGATGTCAGAACTAGATGAAAAAACAGAGGAAGAGAGTTTTTTTGGTTATGAATATTGTTTGTTATTGGAGAAGAAACAGAGGAGCTCTAAATATAAGAAAAAACAGGGGAAGATTTTTGAAGGAGATAAGGAAGAGAAGATGTGTGAAGGGGAAAGAGGTTTTTGATGAAGGGTATGTTATGGATTATATAGAAACCAAAATCTGAAGCATCCACTTGTCTTTCTTTGTTAATAATTTACAATTTATTTTGATATTTGGGAAATAATGGATGGTGGGGAAAGCTGGAATCGTTACGCGCCCATTGTTTTATCATTTTTATATAAAAATAAAATAAAATGTTTTTAATTAAAAAAATATTATGTAGGTCAGTAGGTGGATGTACTTTGCTTTTTTATTTTTTGGTAATGACACTTTACTTTTGTTTATTTTTTGGTATTCAAAGATAACTATTAATGGTAAGTATGGATTTGTGTGGTGTAATGGTGTGATTAATGATATGTAGTAGGATAGACAAATAGGTAGGTGGTAAAAGTTGACCATGTATCAAGATAAAAAGGATTAAAATAGTCAATGTCTTGAAAATTGCATATTTATTACAGATTACAGAAAATCTTTGATATATTTTGTTGCCATTAATTCAGTCAATGGCTTTGAATATTTTGATACATTATAGTGAATTAAAATTGATAACAAATAGGAAGGCAATCATTTTTAGTTATTTTTCAATGAATTCAATTTCTGTAAAATATTATTTTACATAAAAAAAATTGAGACAACATATATAAGGAAATATAGAATATTTAATCATAAAAATTAAAACTTGTGGATAAAATAAATTCATGAGGATCTGTTGAATTGATATGTGCTTTGATATTTTAATCTAATAGTAGTAGTTATAATTTTGTGTCATGTGATTGATATCAAAATTTTGAATTCATACATGATTTTGAACTAATTTTGTTTGTTTGCACTAGTGAATTGTTGTTCATCTTAAATTGTACGTACATAAGTCTAATAAAGGGTCTGAGTGTCTGACTAGTAAAAACTTTAGGGCATCATCAATGAGGGATCATGTGAGGGTGTTCTTATAGAGAATATAATGTTAAAATAATGTAAGATCATGTGTTTAGATCTTTTGTTTAGAAGTTGATTAGTGGGAGAACATGTGTAAGATCTTAAGACTTAATAATATAATAATCTAAATTAAATTAAGATTTTACAATTATTAAAATATTTAAAAATAACATATAAATTGCAAATGCCAAATTTATGAAAAACTGAAAATAAAAGTGAAAATACAATACTAAATATTTATGAAAAAAATATTAAAAATATAAATAACAATAAACAAACAAACATATTACTTAATAAAAGCACAAAAACATTTTATCTAATTAATACATAGTTTATTATCCAAATTTATTCCAAATATGTTGAATATTCCAACCAATGCCCAAATGCCACGTCACCCCGCAACACCCACAAGAACAGATCCAGGTCAAGAGCCCAGTTCCTGATCTTAAGCCCATTAACCCATTTTTTTAGATTTAAATAATGCTTAGATCAGGGGGGGTGATCCCCCAATGCAGATGGTCTAAGAAATGAGTAGAATTCTAAAGAAGAAATAGAGAGAGAAGAAATAGAGAGAGAAGAAAATAGTACTTTAGAAGAAAACGTTATTATATGTTTCTATGAGTTGTTCAAATTTTCTAACATATGAGTTGATTTTAAAATATGACACTTTACTTTTTAAAATATGAGTTGTTCAAATCTTCTTTTTATTTAACAAAAAATAAAAGCTGATTTTATTCAAGAAATTAATCAAAATAAAACTAAAACTATCAAGAATATTTTAAGAAGTTCTAATATAATTATAAGAGATAAATTTTAAGTGTGTTTTTAATTATTTAGAAAGTTTTACAAATCCAATTAATGTCTATTACATGTAACATCTATCACCAATTCTTATCCTACAAATAAAAAATCCTCCTTCTTCTAAATAAATAATCACATTTGCAATAATTGCATTTGATTTACTTAATTTTTATATCTCTAAAAATGATTTTTTATTTTTTTATTTTTGTAAAGACACACAAAAACATTATAAAAAAATAAAGCACTATCATCATCGACATCATTTCTTTATTTATATGTTTCTTTTTGTTAATAATTTTAAATTTGATTCTATAATATTTTACAACACGTTATCGTTATGCATCTTAATTGTTTGAGTTCTTAAAATTCAACTTCAAAGAATTTAGATTTTACATTATAGTCCTCATATTAGTTATAATTAATTAAGATCATTATTTCTTATAAATAACTATATATATATATACATTAAAAATATTACAAGCATTATTATATAATAAAACCTTATATTGTAATATAAAATTACACATAGATAATAATATTGAATTACACAAACTAAGTGATAAATCACAATTCAATCAGCTCCTTCTTTTCTAAATAAAACAACATGGAAAAAATAGAGGCCTTAAAAAGTAATCAAGAACAAGAACAATAACCTTCAACTACATCGAACTTTTATGGACAATATTTTTGTTGTTTTGAAGGTTCGAAATCAAATTTACCTAAGTTTCATGGACAAAATTTCATATATGAAATTATAGAACATATAAATTTTATGGATGTTTGGAAATGCTCTAAGAACACTCAAACAATAATTGTATGGTTGACCGTATTACTATCCGTTATATCTTAATTTAGATCATATTTCTAAAAAGTGATTGTTCGTATTTGAATCTAAATTTTAATACAATGACGATATTAACACAAATAATTAAATTATAATTCATATCATATGTTTCTTGTTAAAAAAAATCGTTGTCCACAACTAACATAATAGAAAATACAATGTAATGCTACAACTTCAAGTATTTCATGATTTTCATTTTATTAAAATCTTTTTTTCTTATAAATATTCACAGGACGTTGACGGAGTAACTAGTAGTAACTTATTACTCTCTATGTTTCATTATGAGTGTCGTTTAAAATTTTTTAACACTTATTAAAATAATCATTAAATTTTGGGTTTACCAGTTTTTAATATATTATACAAATTTTTTATTGGTCAACACATTAATATATTAGGGATAAAAATGAAAATTTTAATAATATTTATATTGAAAATATAAAACGATACTTATTTTACAACAAAATTATAAATTTAAAAAGGCATTTAATATGAAATGGGGGAGTATAAACGGTGTTAAAAAGACTAGACAACTTTAATAATTTCACTTCACCTGATACAAATTTTAGTTACCGTTGGTAGTTAATTTAGTTACCGTTGGTAAACAAACAACTTTCATAATTTCACTTTACCTTATACAAAATTTAGACAACTACAGTGCACGACACCGTCTTTGACGCAGAATCTCTTTTGTAGATCTGCACCGTACGAAACCACGTGCATTTCACAATCCATGTTCTCAATGAGCGGCTCTTAATACACGTCAAAGTTCCAATTTAAATTAAACCTAATTTATGTATTAAAAATTATATAAATAAAGGTGATTAACACTTAACCTCTAAGCAGAGGCAGGGGACAATAATCACATGGGTCCATAGCTCATCTCTTCTGGAACTTCATAACAATTTTTAATTGTATAAAATATTGATAATCTATCAAAATCAGTCCCTAATCGGTGATGAAATGAAGACTAATTGCTAATTGGCCATTTGGGTTAGGTGAAATCACTAAAAACATTAAGTTTATTTAGAAAGATATGTAAATTACATTATCAAAAAAAGAAAAGGATATGTAAATTTAATTTAATTTAAGAGGAATAAAAATATCATTTTCTTTTCCAAAAACATCACAATCTTTTTTAAAATAAAATTTCTTTTATAAAAGGCTTTCTAATTATTCCTGGTATTTTATAAGAAAAAGTACGGTTTAAAATATTTCCTCAATTTAATTCTCCACCATGTATTGAGGAATCTTTCTTTGTCAGAAATTGTATTATTGATATTATTAATTTCAAGTTTAAGTGTTTTGCTTTTATGAATGACGTCCCGGTTTACGTATCAAGTTTTAACAATGGGAAAAATATATTAACTAGGTTTTCTTGATAATAAAGATAAGACAATGCAAAGTTAGGTCGGAAGGGGCCATCAAAATATGGCATAGCACTCTTTTAAAACATTTTTTTTTTAATGTTCGAATGGTTCTTTGTTAAGATTTGTGAAGTACCACTAGCATATCCACTTTGCAAATTATATATAATTAAAATCTGCATGTAATGTCAGGTTAATAGTAATATATAGGCATTAGGCAACATTATAATGTAGATTAATCCTAATACTGTTCACGGATGCGATAATTTAAGAAGAAAATATTTGAATATCAAAATTAAAAAGAGAATTTTTCTCCCAAATTTTTATCGTTTAAGCGATTGAACATTTAAAACGCTTACAACAGAATAAATACCAAATTACCCGAGAGTCAATATATGTATTCATGAAAATTAGTCTTGACTCTTGTATTATAGTATTAGACAAGATTTTATAAAAAGTCAAAAAAAAATGGGCTGCTTAATGAGTCACAAATTGTTAGCTTCTAACTTTGAGAAAGAGAAGAGAATAGTGGAAAGATGAGGAAAAAAGTAACTGTTAAAATAAATTTAAAAAACAAAGTCACTGCATGCAACCACAGCCCATAGGTCAGACCTTAAATTGGACCATTCCTTTTTTAGAAAAATAAATTTATCAATTAATTTAAAATTCGTAAAAAAATAGAGATGTCAAATAGTAGAATTTAATCTCACTTTAATGTGAGGTATTAGTATATAAATATCTCAATGATGTAATTGATGAGGAATATTCCCAAACAGCGATTTG